TTTTCAACAGCCCTAGACTAAATTTACATTTGAGATCGAAAGGTAAATGACAGTATACTTTAAAGAAAATTCCCCAAAATCCCCCAATTGTAGAAGTGGTCTTCTTTTTCAGTTTAGTACAACCTGGGCACTCAGATGCTAGCAATCATTTTGACCAATGGGGAATTGTGTAGCATCTCTTCATAACTCATGAAACCTGCAATCCCTTGCCACCACAAGAAACTAAACACCTTTTTCACTAAAAACCATACATAATGAATTACATTTTATTTCAATAAAAATAAGAGAAAAATCAGAACAATTTTTTTGGTTGTTTTCCTTCTCCTCCCTCAATTTTATGTGGCATAGACCAGCCAGCAATAATCAACCAGAGCCATTTAGTGTATAGTCTCGTCTTGCTGTGACTAATAGGATGATTGGTTGTATAGCTTCTTTATGGTTGTTCATTATATCACCCTTACATAAAGTAATTTAATTTCAGTGGGATAATTAGGGTATTTCTAATCTAACTGATAGTCTGAATGAAATGAGATTCTCAGAGGGAGATTTGTGTACCAGGAGATTGGTGACCTTCGGCCCCAATTTTCACACAATGTATTAAACTGACAGCCCTACTTCCAAGCCTTGCTGTACTACATCTTCACAACTTGCACAGATCTATGTGCTATACACAGCAACACTAAATGAGGTTCCTTTACTTAAAGAAATCTCATTATCAAAAGGAAACCATTAGATTTTATTTGAATTATAGGAAAATAATCCTATAATCATTCACTATGTAGAAATTCACCCAGGTTACTAACATTATGCACCACACAAAGCACACCACTGAACACTCATTCTCACTTGCCTTACACAGTAACCTCCAATATTTAATATTAATTTAGCTGACAAGTATGAAATAGTGACAGTGTAAGTGAAAAACTGCTGTTTTCCCCGATTTCCCAGAAACCACGTATGAAGTTGTAGGATGCATTTTCCTATATCTCTCTGGCAGCCAAGTCAGTGCTGTAAGCCTATGTATGAATCAAAAGGAGTATGTTTCAATAATGGTCATTATACACTGGAGCTGTCAGCAGTACAGAATACCTGCTTGATAACAAGCCAGTCAGTCCACAGCTTCACTCCCACATATGTATTAATGTTCTTCTACTTTTGCTCTCACCGTTCTGTCCTTTCCAGTTTCTAATATTGTGGTTTCTTATATTTGTTTCTAATTTAGGTCCCTATACAGCTCCCAATGAAGTTAGTGTTTCCTTTTGCTTCCGTGGGAGGTAGATCTGTCCAGCAAAGCCAAGTCCTCCTTGCTTTTTGTGACTTTACAGGCTCTATTCCAGTGAAACAATGTGTGACCTCCTTTGGGTTACAAGCTCCTTGCATCAGGATCCTCATCTACTCCTTTTAATGTAGAAGGCTCTTTAAAAAATCCTGTATTTATTTGATAAGATTCCCTTCCCCTCTCCCCCTTCTTAAAATGGCATGGGGGGAGGGCTCACTCCCCACCTTATACTTTTTCCATGCTGGTATGCTCCATCCAAACTGCAGCCTGGGGCACTAAGCATTACCCCAGCTCAGCCCCAGAGCAGCAGTGCACAGCCCACATGGCTGCTACGGGGCCAGGCTGGGGCCATGCTTGGTGTCCCAGGTGAAAACAGGGAGTGGGACAGAGCCTGCTGGCACACAGCAAGGGTAAGGGGAGAGGAAGGAAGCACAGACTGGGGAGGGGAGAAGAGAGGCAGAAGGGAGGGCCCCAAGGCTGCAGGAGGGGCAGACACAAGCAGGAGCCAAGCTGCTTCACCTCTGCACACCACCTTCCCCGCCACCCCGGCCTGTCCCCTTGTAGCAGTGCAGGGGACAAGTTAAAGCTAATTCTCCAATAATTAGATTATCTATACTGAAAATTTATAAATTTGTTATAATTTTCCATGCATAGAATCTAATTACTGTTGGGTCATCTTCAAATTTGAGTACTTGCAGTATTTGGGCAGCTTCTCCACAAGGCTTTGAAAATATACCCCATACTTTTTGGTAAACAACCAGAAAGCACAGTTTTAATGCGACTATTTTACAGTTAAAAAAAAAACTACTTTCCAAAAATACATACATAAATAAAAAAAAAAAAAAAAATCAAAAATCAAAACCCAAACCCTCTCATCTTTATTAAATTTCTTTATCAGCTTTTGTCTATTTGGTTAAGATATGGCCAAGGTTTGATTACAGGCTTTCATGTTTCTTTGTACCAAAGCAGCACAAATAGGTAGAGTAAGAAAGTAAGGATTCAGCACATGGTCTCTTTTTATAGAATTACATAGTAAAATCCTGGGTAGATCAAAGTTAACATTCCCATTGGCCTCAGTAGAGCCAAGATTTAACACACACAATATAATTAATTTACACACAAATGAACATCAATACAAATATTAAGAAGCTGGATACCATGAATATATTCTTTTTATTGTAGGTATAACCATTTCCTTCTTCTCTCGAAATTAAGACTGATTCAGATGTAAATACACATAAGGTTCATACTGCATGGAACATTTTCATATGATTATGAGCTCTTTCACAAAAAGACTATGTTAAAAAAACCCAGCAACTGCTACACGTTATGGTTACCCAAAGAATCCTTCCGAAATTCACAACCACAGGAAAAGAACACAAGAGGATTAAAATTCAGATAAAACTTAGTTTTTCAACTCATGTTATTAAAAAGGCAAAAAACTTCCTACATTTTATTTTAATAAACTGCCTTTATTTTTACCCTCCACTGAGAATTTCTTAGCATAATGTTACTCAATAATAGTTGTTTGTGTTTTTATTTCCTTCGACACTGCTTATACATTCTATCATGTCAGGCCCTTTCCATGGGATTTGTTGTTAGCAAGTCGCTAACCTGAAAGATGCTATGGCTGCAAAGGAACCATTACCAGTTATGTCAAGCCCTATTTAAGAGACTTTAGTTCATGGTTCATTGACCTGATAAACTGAAGAAGCCATTATAGTTTAATGGGCCAATATACATCTCTTATATGAAAAGTAAAGGGTGTATGCTAAAGATGAAGAGGCATTCTCTGCTTTTGGACACACAACACAAAGTTAATTCTAAATTTGTTTTTGGAAGGAAGACAGTGCTGATCAAAACGTAATTTAAAAAGTAAAGAAATAATTTACAGTGTTTCTGTAGATGGGATTTTACTGGATGCTTACTCTCAAGGTCTGTCAAAATGCTCTTGGTGGTTTATGTAAAAAAAAGTGTCATTCATGGATGAAATAATGGTTTTACTGAAGTAACAGGAGATGTTTCTGTTAATACATTACAGCTAATAAAACTTCTCTATGCTGTATCATGAAGATAAAAAACAGTGTACAAGCACAAATACTATATACCCTACAACTGTCATTTAAACAGTACCCTGGGCCCTTAGTTTCTTCAGCTGGAAACTGGAGATCACCAGCACCTTACCTTGTAACATACTTTAAGATCCTTGGACCAAAAGCTCTAGATAAGTAATATTACAATTAGAGTCTGAATTTCCAAAGTTTACATGGCTGGTAATATGAGCACACAGTGCACAAATTGCATGAACAAACTTGAAATTGGTTAGGCATCTAAATATATGTGCAATCATTTGCAAGGATAAATGCAGGCATGCATTATTTTGGACATCCCTACTCTCCAGAATTTTAAGTATTCCCTTTTTCTGCCAAAGGAAGACAATATACATTTCATCACTGATCTATCACCACATTCTGATTCTTCTTATTCTAGAAGCGACCCTTAGGATAGACATTCTGTAGAAACTGCAGCTTTACAGAGGATCAGTTACTTCAGTAGCAGAATAAGGGGTAAAGAAGGGGGCCACCAATTCAACCAAATGTATGAGTCTTCCATTTAAGCTAAAGCTAAGCGGGGAGAATACAGTCATTAAAATATTTGAACAACAGACACAGTACTTGAAAGTATTAAGAAAAAGACCATGTATACATGTATGACTGCATTCACAAAAAAAGTTCATCACCTCACACAACTGGTCCTTACAAAGACACATTGAGTCATTTTAATTCAGTAACAGAAAACTATTTTTTAAGGAACTGATTAATATAAATTAAAATCAGAAGCAAAAGTGCATTTACCCTTTAAAAATAACACTTTTCTTTATTGTTAGTGTGGTCTAAGAAAGGGACAAATAGTTATATAAGAGTGTCAAGGAAAGAAACAACACCTCACAAATATTTCAACATCATGCAAAACCTGCCAGCCTTAACAACAATGCACTTCAATCATGGAAATCCTTGCCACAGTACAAGTTTAAAAGCTAGATTAGTTATAAAAATATCCTAGCAAAACTGTTTTAATTGCCACCAAGAAACATAATATTTAAGAATAAATTCAGTATTTTAGAAAAAGAGGTCCTTATCTAAAAGTTGTCTAAAGACTTACAGCTCTTCAAAGATCATATAGCACTGTTTTGGTAAGAAAAAAAAATAGAAAAGGAAAGAAAGAAAAAAGTAGGATATAAAACCCAAAAAGGTACTGTGTAATACCTTCTAATTACATTCTTACTTATCAATCTACCAAAACTCCCTCAGTATTTTCATTTACATATGATAGACCATTTCCATTCTTGTCCTAAATTGTTGTGTAATATTGAGGCATTCTGTCAGACAATTGACACATTTCATTTCAGAAGCTAAATGCATTTCAATAGTAAATGACAATCCCCAGGTATAATTTCTTAAATTTTTTAAACCATTTTGGGTCTTCCAGGATTGAAAGTTCAACGTAAGATCTTGTTACTGCAAGACTCAGTAAATACATTAATACAGTATTTTAGGTCATGGCATGTTACCGATCAAGATACACCGCCTGCCAGCAAGTAATTAAAACACAAGACTGTGCGTATAGAAGGGCAAATTCTACCATACATTCATTATACAAATCAGTACAGTACTCATCTACATACATCTTACTGTGCTTTCAGAAAACAATGTTTGTTTACCTCTTTCTTGCAGTTCTGTTGTTTCCACTAATTATTAGAATCACATTCCACGGGTAAACAAGGTGGAAAAAGTCTCACGTCCACTATCCCACTTTCTGTCAGAGAGGTTTGAAGCCGGCTAGGCCTCACAATAAGTTTTCTAATCTAGATAAGCAGGCCTAAAATATCTGACAGCTGTTTCACGCTCTTCATCATCATCTGAAACAATCAGTACGCATTAGAGAGTACTTTTCCCTTTACAAAGGTGATAATTAGATAACAAGCTGAGATTAAAGTAATTACAGTTAGACAGCTGGCAAGGCAGCACAGTCATGTTGAAATATTGTTGATACTTCAGCATCTGGTTCTAATAACAGCACAGGCTAAAAGATTTTACATTAATTACAGCACATAATTTAATATAAACATATTTAATTACAATTGATGAGCGATAAACTGTTCAAGAATGACTTAACCCCTTACACATGTCAAAATGATTGGAACTTCATATATTTCTTTCCACTTTAGAAGCAAGCTACAGTCGATATGAATGGTTAAGAATTTCTCATCGTTTAAGAAGTTCAACAAAATCCATTTTAGATAAATTCTTTGAATTCAGCTTGAAAACATTTTTTAAATGATACAATATTACAGAATGCAAGACAAGACCCGGTAAGGGATTCAGGCTTTTAAAGTGGGCTTAGGCAGTATTTAAGCACTTAATTCCAAAATTGCAGTACTAAAGCCCTTCCCTACTCATCAGTCACCTAACCCTGGAGGCACATACATTCCCTCCTGTCTTACTTTTCAACTTGAAAGTTCCTGAGTCCATACCCAAAGCAGCTCCAGTCTTCACAAGACTGAGCAGTTCAGAGCCTAAATATGACTGGGTATCAGAAACTCATCATTTCTCCACTGAGAGTCTTCTGAAGGGTTTGATCCAGTAAGCATCCTCACAGCATGCCAGATACAAACTGTTAGGAGGGAGCTCCTCAGAAAATTATGTTGATTGAAACTTTCTTTTAAAACATGGTTGCTTATGGCAGAACCTGGTTAACAGCCTTGCTATTCAGTCCCTGAATTTAAACCTTCATCTCCTACCACCTCAGTGAGCGCCCTAGGTTCAGGTAGTTTTTGTTGGGATCATTCTCCACTTTCCTATGGAAGCCATACTCTAGACAGCAAAGAACAAAAGATTCATTGAGCCATAAGGATAGAAGGGTGAATCTAACTCTGTAGCCTTGCTGTTAGGGAAACTCAACAAATAAGAAGGGCAGATTTGAGTTCCCATCCCTCTTTCAGGAACTTTAGTGTATTTTATACAATAACAACTTTATTAAAAGTCTCCCCTGCCCCCCGGTGAGCTCCCTAAACCTAAAAAGTCCTGCTCCACTAAATCCTTTATAGAATTTGGCCCTTAGTTGTGGCTTGATTAATTCACCCTGCTTTATATCCTGTCTAAATCTTTCTAGATCAGTGAACTGTTTTACCCAGTCATGCTTCCCTTGTCAAGTACAAATATGTGTACACACTTCTATCTAGTGAAGCCATGGACCAATTTTTGGTAGTCAGTTATGTGTCTTATTAAACAATCATCTGATTTCTGGAAATGTTTCAAGTGAAAAGAAACACATTAAGTACTGAGTACATTAGTCAGTATTCTGATAAAGGGTAAAACAAGCTTGAGAAATTTGTACCAAATATAATGGGGAATTCAATTATTGCATAAATTATAAATTAATACTCACTTTGAATTACCTAAATGATTACACCTACAGTATTTCCAACAGCCAAGTCAGAGAAAGAAAGACTATTCCAAAAGGACATGGCATAAATTCTGCTTCAAATAACCTGGGCACAATCCCTTAAGATTAACTTTTTTCTCTTGCAAAGAAGCAAGAAAGAAATCATCCTCCTCAATTTTCTGCTTTACCATAATATATAGAGAGCAGAATATATTCTATCATTAAAAATCAAGGTATTCTTCAGCTTTTAAACACTGAGAAAAATGGGCTACTTATGTATATGCACAAATCCTATGTGGTACTTTTTCAAAATATAAATGCAAAGCCTGCATGGCACTCAAATAGATTCAGGTTACACTATGCTTAGCTATTCACTTCAAAGATTTTAGTTGTGGGTAATTCCTCCACATTCCCCACCCCCCAAAATTGTAAAATTCTTATTCACTATTATCACACCAGGCTAACCAAAGGGCTCATGGAGGAAGAATGCGTTGGGGTATCTTTCAGTGTTACATACTTATATATTTTGCATTCTAGTCGTGAGGAAAGACTAGGGACTTTTTTGGCCCCCACAGCTCGTATAACCCTAGTAATCTTTGAAGTTAGGTTAGGTTTTCTAATATCATTTCACACACAAAAGGCAGGTTGAGGCTGCAGGTTTTGAGGAGCCAAAATGTTGTCTGGGAATGTACAATTAGCAAGAAATAGTATTTGGAAGATGTCCATGATAGCATATGCATGGATGGATTTAGATTTAAATTCTACAGAATCTAGTTATATATCACAATACTGAACAACTGAATCACTTTCAAAGCACCCACATTTTTCCAATTTAAAACGTCCTGCAGAAGAATTTTCAGGATACACTTCATGTAGACATGCATACTTACGATTGCACATTATCACAAGAAAATCCCCAAAACAAACAAAGTTTTATTTTATTCAACATTCCTAAATGAATTTTTAAAAATGTAAAAAAGAATATAGAAACAAAAATACAATAACATCATTTGTATTGTTTGATAATTTGTTGTATAATTTGGGCCACCACTTACAAACTCAAAAACTCAAAGGGAGATAAATGCTTTAGGGTTGGCAAGCCAGTCAATTGACTGGTCAAGTACTGTCAGTTGACTGGTTAATTGACTGCATATTTTTGACCTGTCAAAGATGATAGCAATTTTATGGGGAATTTTTTTTTGCAGTTTTCTTGACAGAAATATTATTTTTTTCTTGTTTTTAACACATTTCTTAATGGAAAATTTGTGCCTTTTTTATGTATTATTTGACCTTATTGGCAATTTTTTACAATTTATGACTGATTTTGACCAGTCAATTGACCAAATTTTATTTAACTGGTCAAATACCCAACCCTAAGATGCTCTCTTTCTACAGCTTATCCAAAGTCCCCAACAACAAAGGCTCACTTTCTTGCTCTAAATTTCTTCAGCAATATATTGCACACTCCATATTCACAGCCAACAATGGAATGAAGCTAGTGGAAAAGACACCTCAATAATCTGTGAAATAAATGCCTTGCATTTCTAGGCTGCTGAGGGTAACAAGCTCACTGAAATCATTAGCATAACCAAGTAGGATGAAATATGAACAATTTAGGTGAAGAAGGAAGAGAATATGTTTCTACACACCCTTTTTTATATATTCTGACCATTAATTTGCATTTCTGGACTAATCAAAATTAATCATATATTACAAACAGATATAGCTGAACATAATACAGTAAGTGCTAACAGTTCTGAATTCCTCCAGCAAAGAAGAATTGTTGTGCAACTCACTCAATGCTTCATTTGTCATTTACTCTCCTGTAGATCTAAGGCTCTTCTTAAAATCTTTAAAATAAGGT